GTAGATTATTTTAAGCACCCACTACCTACTATTCAAATAACAATAGTATCACAAATCCCTAACTTGTAAATTTGTTTAACCATTTATAACTATAGTCCGTAATTTAGATGAGGATGCTTAGGGATATTTTATATGCCAGTTAACAGAACGCACCCACCCATCCCTAATCACTAAACTTTTGCTTTTCTCCGCTCCAGACATGCTTTTATAATATATAATATGATGTCGATGTATAGTGCAGTGGCATGGCGAATTTCATTAAGTTATGAGGCACAGTTATATTGTCAGACCAACCACCCACTCCACMCATCACAAAAAACATTAAAAAATTTTTTTATGATAAAATATATTTATTCATTTAAATAATAATGCTTTTTTAACACATCAGATGATCTTTGAGGACACCCACCACCCCTCAAACTGAGGCGAGTGCCTCAAACATAGTCTTTCGTCACGCCACTGGTATAGTGTATACTGTAAAGTATGGTAAAGCCAATCGAGGACAACTGATTATAGACTTTCTTGGACCAAGGGTATTATTTTAATAATATTAGGCTCTGACGAGGTCGTTAGGTTAGGATACTCTGCGTTGAGAAGATTAGTGATCTTCGTGATAACTGTAACTAAGTTATGGATACATATTAGACGGTCAGTTCTATTTACATTGGAGATGTATAAATGATTTACAGTTGAAAAGTTGACGGAAATATAAAATAATATAATAATATTGTATCCAATTGCTTAAAACAAAATTTATTTTAATCGACTTGCAAAACGGTAGGTATACATTCGTACTTGAAATTAGAGAATAGGTACTGCAAGTACAGCATTCGATCGGATCACTAGCTGTTTTGAATTGGATTTAAAAACCTAYTTGTGATTATAATACAATGTACGGTACTATTCGCGTCACCCGAATTAATCATTTGAATAAATGTTGAAGACGAAGTCGCGAGTTCGACGGCTATGCAAATTTTTCGCGATCGATATTTCGTTAGGAGGTGTATCTACCTATATATTATATGTATATTATTATTATTATAAGTAGGTAGCTTTGCAGTGCGGTTTTTGTTAGTTCCGCGCAAACCGGTCATGGTCTCTCTTCMCTCTCAGTCAGATTGTCTCTGTTTCTCTCGCTGTTTCCACTGATCGTGCGGCAACCACATACCTAAGCTTCGGTCCGGTTTTCAGACGAAATAATATTATAATATTGAATTCGGTACCCGCTTTGCCTGGCCGCGGCGGCGCGTTCGTGACACGGAACAATACGTACGCGCGGCCCGCCGACTGCTTAATAATAATATTATAATAGGCGTGGGTAGGCACTATATACATACAGTTCTCCGGCTACTATACTATATAATATTCCGGTGCATATACCCTCCGCCGCGTACCTCACACAATACCTATATTACATTATATTATATTATATTAACGACGACCGAATATTCGTATTATTATTATTATTATTATTATTATATCGTGATAAAAACGCATCCGTTTGCGCACGTATTGGTTAGTACACTGTCGTAAAACTAATGCATCTCGTGCGAGGTCACGTTTTCCGCCCGCCGCGGCTGTTACATATTATATAAAGCGAACGGCCGCCGCGAAAAGGGATAGCTCCCGGAATAAATTGTCTTCGTAAAATATTCGTCGCCGTCCCGCGCTCATAGAATATTATAATATTATGTTTAATAATACCACATATGCGTAGACGCGGACGTTTTTCTTAACGACGATTATGGCGCGTGTATAGCATAATAAATACAATCACGGCATATAGTTCAAGACGACAATAAATATAATATTGTATTGTGCACAGAGTGTATAATAATTATATATAGGTATATATTATATATGATAAATTACAATATTACATTATCATATTATTATACGCACCATGACGTGTACGGATTTCGAACGATGCATCTCTCGCCGACGCCACTCGGTCGGTTAATATTATATACCTATTACCTACCTGGTTCTTGGGTGTACGCCCGATCGCGTGTAAAACCGTCATTGGAAAATTGTTTGAGCGTGCGCACGCAAAAAATACTTGCTTATATAATTTCGATGTTACTTTGCCTCAAGTCACAGTGGCATAATATAGCTAAATTTGCAGTGTCATAAATATAATATTATTATATTTCAATAATAATATCTCGGAGTAGAATCGATGTAGAGATTTTCCTTGACGAGGAAATTTTAGCATGTTACGATGCATCCATAACTCGTCCGTCACATATATACAGTTAAAAACAAAAATAGTGTAACTAGAACAAAAAACAACATTGTGTTAGATGTTCTCTCACTAATCACGTGTACCTATATAATAGCTGATTGTATTTTGTTTCATCTTCTCTCCTAAATTAAAAAGGCTCACAAATTATATTGTACTAAGTTCGGTACGTGTGGACTGTGGATGGATTTTATTTTCGTTAGCGCACAGCAGACAAAGAAACTAGGTTAAAGCCGGCGTTTGAAATAAAATCGATATGCTTAGGACTTAGTGGAGGCGGAATACGGCCAAAGTTTTTTTTATGTTTACACAATGCGTAAACGACCGGCACTCCGCTACTCATCGGTCATCGGCTCGTCGCGTATACGGCTTCACGACAAACTCCACGAAATTGATACGTGCATATATTATGTATACATATAAGTACGGCGTGATAATCCTCTGCCGCCGCAGTGCCAATCGAGTCGAGTCGTTTCGTGAAAAACCGTCGATGCAGAGCTTATACTATTACTCGTGTTCTTGTAACGTCATTTTCCATCAGGGATGTTTCCTAGCTGTAGTGACGTTTTTTTATTATACCAATAATCTATAGTATGGCCGCAGTTAGTTCCTCAACCACTTTGTCATGAGTCGTAGTTTTACAACAATATATTTTGGGATATGTGTTCAAGGAGCACCACCCGAATTTCTTGCCATCTTTTATTGGAGTGTGTCCGAGTTCCATGCCACCTCTAAGATTTGTATGTTAAAATTGCATATCGTGTATACTAAATAAAAAATAATTTTACATGTTATATTTCAAATAAATAATGATATTATACAATTTCAGRAATAGAATATCACAATTTCAACAGAATATATAATAAAAAAATAATTAAGATAATATTTTTTAATTATAAAACATATCTAAATGGCAAATATATAATAATAATGATAATAATACCAGGCACATTATCTTTTTTTAATAATTATATCATTTTGTAAAAAGGTCATTACTAATCAATTAATATATTAAATAAAGCAATATTTTAGTCTAGAAACTTATCAGTTGTAACAACCATATCATAAAACGTTCTTATACATGAATTTAGAATAGTTATATATAATAAACATGTAAGTAGGTACAACTCAAAAATGGTGTAGATAGCGCTTGATGCAAAATTTGACCCACAAATATATGATTATTATTGTTATTATTATATCAAAACAACATTGTCTCAGTAAAAAAAATCACTTTACACGTAGACCGGGCTATAAATAATGTCTAAAAAATCTAAATTCGCCCGACAACAATAAATTTCGGACTTCCGTCATCATACGGAAATACAAGTTACAGTTCGAACATTTTAACAAAACAGATTCTTGATTAAACGAGTGCGCCGATTAACTATTACTTGTAACTAAATTAAAAAAAAAAAAAACAGGATACAGTGCCGGATACACCCCTCACGAATATCATATTATACCAATWTATAGGTTACCATCTCTTATTTTACCCAAATCTCGGTTTTAACATACGTACAATATTATTGTAAYATACAGATATTATGTACTATCATGATATATAATATTATATGGGCGTGATGATGTGTTTCAGGTGTGGTTCAAGAATCGGAGGGCTAAATGCCGGCAACAGGTGAAGCAGAATCAGCAGCAACACCACAACGGCACTGGAGCGGATAAGACGGCGTCGTCGAGGAACAACAACTCGACCGGCAACAACGGCCAGAAGTCTTCGGGGAAATCGTCGGGCGGTGGAGGAAACGCGCCGGTCAACAACAACAATAAAATGTCGCCAACGATAAACGGCGGTGTCGGCGGTGTTGGCAGCGGCGGTGGTGGCGGTGGCGGTGGCGTGACGAGTTCGACGGCCGGCAACTCGCCCGTGTCCACCGGCACGTCGCTGTCGTCCAGTCGACAGTCGCCGCCCGGCGGTGGTTCGTCGTACATCAAACCGATACTGAGCGGCACGCCACCACAACAGCCGTCTGCCGTGTACCTCCCGAGTTCCGGTAAGCCGAACGGTCGCATTTGTATATATATGTATTACAATACGGCCCTTAACCGTTTACCCACCCACACACTCGTATACGTATAGCTCTTAGAAGCCACGTGACCTCATAACGCAACGACCACATCCTCGAGGGAGTAATGATGTGTTGTGATGCGTGCGGACCGTTTTCCTTACGATACACGTTACCCGACAGCACAAATACCGTATGCTGCAGGAACAACAATATTATCGTATAGGCGTGCCATCAATTTATTTTTAATGCGCGCGGTGAGCTTACAATTCGAAAAGTGGGTGGCGTAGAAGGGGCCTGCTGCGTGTACTGCTATAATTTAGTGACGCCCCGGGGACTTATTGTATAGGGTCATATATCCGGGCCCGCCTATATCCATACACACGGTCTCTGCAGTACAAATATATTTGTATAATCACGACGGGGGATTTAAACATCACGTTTATTTAAGTTTTGCCTACATTTCAGCGGGTTAGAAAACTATTATCGCGATATCCCTAGCTTGTCAAATGTAAATTTATTTTTTCTCTGTAATACCGTTTCTTTTATGGTCTTGCATTCTTCACTATGATACACAATTTTATATTGTTTTTCCTTTTCCGTGGTTCGTTTAATTTTCTCGACATCTCGTYGCYTTTTTTTCCACTAATGTGCGTATAGTGGTAACGTTTTGAAATTTTTATTATCGYGCAGGTGGTGGAGGTAATACGCCGGGATCAATATGGAGCCCCGCCATCACGGAACCACCATCGGGACTGGTGGACTTGCACCACCACAGCACCAGGTCGTCTCCAGTAGGCTCTAACGGAGGCTACTCGACTAATGGCAGCACCGGTGGTAACTGTTATTCATCTCATCACCACCATCACCAACCGCATCATCACCATCCGCACCACCATCACGCGGCGGCACATCATCACCAGAACTACGGTGGTTACTACTCGAACATGGATTATCTGGCGCCACCACCGACAATGTCATCGCATCAAACAGCCGTGAGTTGGCATGAATTTCTTCATTAACATTATAATATTTTTATTACAACCATCAATTGTGTTTGTACAGTGCCACGGTACAATTTCTAGGCTATCTCACTTAATTCGATGTATGTAATCTCTCATCTTTTACCATTCAATAATTTATTTAGCATTTTTTTGTTTTTGTTTTTGTTTTTTTTTTTTTTAAATAGTTTTTAGATCAAAAAATTTAGTCAGAGATTTTACTGAATATTTAATACTTGAAATAGGTGTTCTGAGCCCACGGGCTATGACCGTCTAGTTTGAGATTCAAAGTGACTCAAAGTACCCTTCCGAAATAAACCCCAATTATTATGGCGTTAGACATACACTTTGAAGTTCAGCCACACACGCAATCATTCCACAGCAGAAAGAGTTGTGACTTTAGGAAGGGTAAAATCTAGATCTCTCGAACACTATGTGTACACAGTGGTTGGGGTGAACGAATAAGGGTGTTGTAATGTGTACCTAAAGGAAAACCAATCTCGATCAAGGGTGAATGGTTGCAGGATTGTACGGGTGTTGAACACACCACGTCACATGGAAATATGCATAAACCAAATACGCAAATACGATATGCAACTTAACGGGGTGACTGGAATAAATCCATCAGTCTGTACTCGTAATCTCTGCTTATATTAACGTAATAACGAACAAGAAATATTTAATAAATAATTTTGTCTCACGTTGAATAAATACGCAGCGTTTACGCTTGGAAAAAATGTTCAAACATCCTTCACACGTGGACTGTAGCGCAGTTGGCACATACGATAGTGCACATATTAGGTGGCTTGGAAATGATATATAATTAGGAGTTGAGATGAACTTTAGTATATTTTATTGATACACTGAACCCTTGCTAGAAAGATTGCCTATGGCCCGATTTATTCCGTAATCCGGTCGATTCTTCGCGATTGKCTGTCGGTAAAGAAACTAACCGAGTGGGAGCATAAGCACCCCCGCAGGTTTTAAATCATCCGTTCTAAACTGTGTTAAATCAAATTATAAAATTGTCACCCGTAAAACTATACCATAAACCTAATTTAATATCATCCTCGATTTATAGCCTCCCTATTGTCGAGTGTATATGTGACAAGTTGACAATCAGTCGATTTCTCACATCATAATATTTTATAATTTAAAATATCATCTTCGATTACAATAGCAAATGTGTTTCGTTTTGTGTTCACAGGAGAACGGTTCGGAGTCAGCATGGGTGAAGCGCGAAGACGCGTCGTCGTGGTTTTACAACTCGGCGGGCTGGGAACGTAAGTAGACAACTGAAACCAGGACCGGGGCTGTTGCACGCCACCATCGCTGCCGCCTCCGTCTTCCCGCAACGCTGCCGCTCATCATCCGCGGTGGATAGAGATGCATATTTTCGCGGGGTGTCCTACACATAAGTGCATGTATATAAATTATCATATTCACACAGATGCCGAAGATGACGACAGCAGCTGCCTGAAAACCACACAAAGATTATACGATAATATGAAAAATAAATGTGCCGTCATCATTTAATCGAATTTTCGACTCGCGTGCGTACGCCAGACGTCTGTAATATAAAATTATGATAATGTAATATTGTGATAATTGAATTCAGTGTGGATGCGCGTTCGTTTACTGCACCGGTTCACGGATCGATATATCTACGATGTACCTACAAGAGTAAATTATAACGCGTTGTACAGGATCAAGTAGAACAGCTCTAACGCAGAAAAATTATACAATTATGTTATCGTATTTATTAAAACATGTGTGCGTGTAAACGTTAACGTGTATAAATGACGTGTAATAATATTACAAAGTGCAGTGAAGCCTCTCTCACTATATTATATATTGTATGTGTACCAATATTAAAAAATAAGATTGTTTAAAATTTCAATTAGATACCTTTAAACAGTAGACTTTATAACAAGAGTTTTACCACACAAACATATTCTTATACACGTTTCATGTAAACGTCAAATTGTTTATAGGATTTGTATAGTTTACAGATAAATCTATTAATTTTTTTCTCTCAAAGGTTTCACTGCTTTTATAATAGTAATGCGAATGTCGTGTGTAAAATAAATCTTCAGTGATCTCGTTTAACTTGTTAATTTTCGAAACAAACCGTATGTTGTACTTGCAATGAACCTATATACGCGTCGGTGATTCGTCAACTTACATGAGTCATGTATAATTATATATATATTATCGATTGATCGGATAATTTTGGATTTAACTTACCGCATAAACGATACATAGGTGGAAATCTATTAAAATGTTAAAGGAACACTTTCAATATTATGTGAACATGAGGGAGGGGGCTAATCCGATTTCCGTCTATGTTAGATTATCTAAAATATACTAATAACCGATCAAAACGATAACAGAATAACTAGCAAATTATGTTTATTTGCACTTGTATACCKATAAATCCTAGAATAGGTCCTAAAATCCTGTAAATAAAAATATTTATCCAATAGAAGAAAAAGCATATCTCTATTGTAAAAGTAATAAAAAACGTTAAACTAACGTATTAATTTAACTKTTGTTACGCGTATCGGTTATAATATAATAACATAGGTACCAATACTATACTAGGTACCTATGTAAGAATTAAACTAGGTTTTAGCCGATTGTTCGATCGATTATTTACGAGCCAGTCGATAACCGATGATTTATTATGAAATTGCATAATCCCCCAGCACAATACACGACCACCCCTCAGCCACGCCCATAAACCAACGTATAATATGTACACATACACGATCGTATATTATTTTATTGTCGGACGTTAAACTGAACGCGAGATGATGTACACACGCTAATATAACGAAATGATAAGCCAGGGGCGCGGTTTCAGATTTTCGATAGGGGTCTGACTACTTAATAAGCGACCCACTTTTTTTTTCTACATTGCCGGGGGATTTGCAGCGCATGATAAAAAGGTTAAAAAGCACAGCTATTTTAAGCCATTGTCACGTCATGACTGATAATCACTAAAAGTTAACTTTTTATTATCCTTTGCTCCTAGCTTCCGTCTAATTGCCACAAATTTTGAATAGGAAAACACTGATATACGTAGTCGACTCATCAATGATGTTGCTCAATGATTGTTTTGCATATCCGGGCTACAGGGAAAATAAGTCACCTGAATGGCRGCGACCTCACCTATATAGCGTATTTATGGGGTTGGAATATTTTGGAAAAGTGTTTAGTTTTTCTAAAACAATATAGCTGGTAAATTCTAATGACTAGCGTCTTTTTTTTTTAATTACATTTTGTGTAATTAAACTGCAGATGGCACAGACCACAAATTGATTTATAGTGGCTTATGTCAGCCCAGGTTATCATAATCGTTTTTCAAATTCCTAACCAATACGGCTGTTTGCAATTTTTTTTTGAAAGTTGTCATATCGAATTTGGAAGATCAAAAAAAATGAAATAACTAGAGTCCGTTCTACAATCAAATAGAAGTATAATAGGTACAATAGGTACATATATTTCATTAAAAAGTTGTTTATAAAAGTTTTTAAAGATTTATAAGAACATTTAAATATTATATTATATTATATATTTTWTACGTCTACTGAAATCGTTTTTATAATATGACTGTTTTCATATTTATCATCAAGTTTCGTTCAGTTATTATAGATCTAGTTTTCTGAAAATCAAGATAATTATACAGCCTATACCCAACAAAATATAGTATTTTATAGATGTATAATGCAAAACATGTCATAATGTTTTTTTGGAAATCAACGATTGTATTTTAGTTTAGACAAAATTATATCGGTGTTTGTAGGTCGGATTCCAAATCTTATAAATAAACAACATTCGATAGACAAGTTTTTCAAATTTTTTGTATTTTATTATTATTACTACTACTATTTTTACTATTATTATTATTATTATTATTATTATTATTATTATTATATGCATGTACATATTATATGTGGTGTGAATTTGGGGAGCGATATTTTTTTTTTATGTTGAAGGGTTTAGTCCCCACTTCTATTAGGCCAACCCTTATTTCCGCCAAAACTCCATACTCTCTAAAACAGCGCCCCTGCAAAAACTCCCAGGCCTATTATCGAAAATGGACAGACAATAACACCAGATGTGTATAAAACGCGTAATCTTTTCAAAAACAATCGGGCCGACGTACTCGTTCCTTTTCGTATACCTGAATCTTTTTTTTTTATTCCTCTAACACTTTTACAATAATATTTTTCATCATTTATCGGACCGTCTTACAAACCACACATTTAGTCCAGCACCAAAAATTATTTCATCTACATAAGTTCTGAGATTTTTAAACGGCCTTCGAGTCAAATTCCAATGACTATTCGGGTCATCAATTATTTACATACAGTTATGTCGGAAATAATGATATAATTAGTATAGGAAACAGTGGAGTATCCAGGGGGAGGGCTGAGGGGGCTGAAGCCCCCCCCCCCCGAAATGTTAATAAAATTTAAAAA